AAACAAACAAAATTTTAAGATTTAAACAACACCCTTCTGTACCAAACAAACAAATAGATTTTCAAACATGCATGATCTGCTGACCGAAATTTTGATCTAATGAAATATTCCTCTAACGTCCTTTTTTCGTAATTGCATTAGCTCTATTATTATATAGGATCCTCCAGTAGCAACAACAGGTTCTGGAATACCAGTTAGAGACAAAACTGCCACTCTTACAGCGGGATATAGAGGACCCGTTCTTATAGAAGACGGAGACCTGCTAGAAGACCTTTCTCATTTCAATCGCGAACGTATTCCAGAAAGGGTGGTCCATGCGAAAGGTTTTGGAGCAAAAGGTTGTTAGAGACAAAACTGCCACTCTTACAGCAGGATATAGAGGACCCGTTCTTATAGAAGACGCAGAACTGCTAGAGGACCTTTCTCATTTCAATCGCGAACGTATTCCAGAAAGGGTGGTCCATGCGAAAGGTTTTGGAGCAAAAGGTTTCTTCGAGGTAACAAATGATATAACAAAATACAGTGCCGCCAAGGTATTTTCTCCAATGGGAAAGAAAACTCCAGTTGCAGTTCGTTTTTCCAACGCATTTCGAGAAAAAGGTAATGCAGATACAGATATCGACCTTAGAGGATTTGCAGTTAAATTTTATACTGAAGATGGTATATGGGATTTAATGGCTTTACATACGCCCGTTTTTGTTGTAAATGATCCTAAACTATTCACCAATTTTAATCATGCAGCCAAAAGACATCCCGTTACTAACTTAGTAAATTCAACTACATTCTGGGACATGATAACGCTTAGGCCGGAATCTACACATGCTATAATGTGGTTGTTTTCACCGGCTACCCTCCCTTGCACAATGAGGGNCTTAGCCAAGCTTTCGAATTTATTCAAATTCGCGCTATTATTATGTTTGCGAATGTAAATCAAGGTTTTGCTCGTGGCATAACAGAGGAATTACTTGCAATTAAAGGTCAACCGGAAGCTTTAGCTTTTTGTGGTATTGACGTATGTAGTCCTTAAAATAATTAATGATATATTTTACATTATATGTAAATAAAATAAACGTATATGTATTTCTATTATTATCACATATAAGAAAAGGAGATAAAGCGTAATACGAGTGAAAATCAATGCCAATTTTTTAATTTCCAGAAGGATGTGGGATTCTTTGTGTAAATGAATCTCCTTAACGATATTGACTTCTAAAGTGTGTACAAAACCATGCTATGACCTTTTAACAATCTTTTTTGAATTCCAAGCACGCAAGACTGATTAGGATTATTTTAAAATACATTACACTATCTGTATTTAATAAATTAATTTAATGGTAGGTACTGTAAGAATATGGGTTTTGCTGGAGAAACAATTTTTGCTATGGTCTATATTCCGGCCTTAATTGCGTTTTGTTTTAAAATATTTCACTTATTTTGAAATTACGTAACTTTAGCTAATTATTAAACCATAAATTCGTTCGCCTTTTTTTATAAAGAATGTTAGTTATGAGAACTATTTTTTAATAAGTAGATAACTTTATCATGGAAAAAGTATCTAAAGTAAACGAATATTTGCAACTTTTTGTGATTGTCTAGTTAATAATGTTGGGTCGTTTGCACTTTTTTAACCAAACTTAATTTCAAATTTAAGTTAAAGGACTAAGACACTAAGAAATAGATACGTTTAAATATATCTAATAATAGTGTCGATCTTTGTTGTTGGCCTTAAACGTAGAAGGAAACTATTTACATACGTTCTAGTTCATTTTACTTTTTTTAAAAGGAAAACTACAAATCGGTAAATGCTATAGATAAACTAGTATCTAATTGGTAATATTTGCGATAAATTGCGAACACTTTCGTGTTTTCAGTATCTCCCATATGTCATTGTTTGGACATATTTAGTGTTGCAACAAGAAGATAATTGTGAAAAAAAGTTAAAGCAATATGGAGGTTTTTAAGACAATATTTCTATTATATTTCTTGATTTTGGAAAAAGTCATCCCTCAAGTAAGTACAACAAGTTTTAGATTTAATTTTCCCACTTAGTAGACACTAAATTTTTAATTATTGTTTTTTAATACCAATAAATAGGTATATGTTCAGAAAGCTTATGTTTTACATCCGAAATTTCAAATAACATGTCGATTTTAACAGTTGCACACAATTTGGAACTTTCTAGATCATTCCAGAAATTTTTAGAACATTCTAGATCGATTGTAATAGTTGCACACATTGTGGAGTTTGAATAAGTTATAAAAGGACAGGTATATATTTTTTCACATTTTCGCCACCCACAACCACCCACCGCGACCAAACTCCCTTACTTTCAGCAGGAGACCAAGAGGTATTTACCACCCCAACGGGAAGTTGATAGGAGTTGGTGGTGATAGAGAAAAACCTGTCTCTACGAACGCACATTAGCATTATACATATATATATATAGATTTAGATATTTATATTATCAATTATATATACTTAAAGGATCCTACCGTGGCAACAACTGGTTCTGGAATACCACTCAGAGACAGATCTGCAATCCGTACGGTAGGATGTAGAGGACCAGTTCCGTTGGAGGCCGCAGAATTTTTGGATGATCAGTCTCATATTGACCGGGAACGTATTCCAGAAAGGATAGTTCACGCAAAAGGTTTCGGTGCGAAAGGTTTCTT